ACCTGGCTGCCCTTCCAGCCCTTTTTGGGATGTTGAGCTCGCTGGGTGACAGTTCCCGCTGCTGGGACCAAGTCAGGATCTCCCACCAAGCTTTACAAAAGTTATTTTTGGTGCTTCCACCCCACAGCTCCTGCTCTGGATTGATGCTGTACCACCATCACCAACCCCATTCATATCATCCTTACGAATGATCAGCAATGAAGTTTTTCATCAAAGCCAAAAAGGCTGCAATTTCCCCCAGAATAATTCATGTTGGGTTTTTTTTTTTCCTGCCTCCATTAAAACGCTTTGAAATGCAACTGAATCCCAGAACTCAATATGCAGGGAGGGAAAAACAATCAAGGATTGCCAAACAATTCTTTTCCTAAAATCCAAGTGATTTACCCCTACTCATTCCCACCACCATCTTTCCCGCTTTACTGCAGCTTCAAGAACGAGACAAAAAGCAAAGGAAGGGTTGAAGCATATAAAAAATAACTGTAATATTTTATAACAAGAAAACCCAAGCATTTTACAAAAAAGGATACACGATAAGCCAGGAACTTTAGTGCTGGGATCAGACTGTGCTGATCTACTCMAAAATCCAAAAAGCTGAAGTTTCTGTGCCTTTTCCATGAGTTTTGGCTGTGAGGGTGGGTGAAAGGCCAGYCAGGTCGTGTGTGTTAAGTTTTAGGTGGTACAGCAAGAGCTGAGTCTAGAAACCCKTCAGTCAACACTCTGGAAATGGAGATGCTCTTCATGCAACGAGTTTGGGAAATGTTTGTGTGATTTTACAAGAAATGAAGAATAAATGAGGCCTTGAAYTCAACTGATACAAAACRGGGTGCCCAGAGAAGCTGTGGCTACCTCATCCCTGGGAGTGTCCAAGGCCAGGSTGGACAGGGCTGGGAGCACYCTGGGACAGTGRAAAGTGTCCCTGTCCATGGCAGGGGTGGAATGAGATGGGATTTAAGGTTCCTYCCAACCCAAACCACTCCCTGAGCTGTATGATCCTGCCCCAGCTCTCACCTCTCCAGTACCACCTGAAGGAACACAGAGCAGGACACAACTGAAGCCTGTGTTAGTGTGCAGGAAAATAAAACATTTTCCTCCCCAGCCAGAACATGTCACCTTCCACATGAGAAATCCTCAAGTCCAGAATTCCAGCTGAGTCAGGTTTAGAGAAAAACACAAATCTACCCAGCAAAGCAAACACCCTCTGAACCTGCAGCTTCCTCTGTTCTCAGAGGGAGGCACCACACGAGGAATCACCTTGTGAGTGCTCAGATCTCAGGATACAGTGATGGGCAGAGAGTGGGAATCACAAGGCAGAGAAGCACATGGGGCTGTCCAGCACTTCCAGCCAGGCTCACAAGGGAATCAGAGCTGGGAATTGTTTCTCTGGAAAGAACCAGGACTGTAAAGAGGGTGATGGTCATTCCGATATCCTGGGATGAACCCCGACACAAGAGACCTGATCTGAAGGATCTGAACGATTTCCCTGCACTCCATGGAGCTGCTCACTGGGAAGCCAGAGCACTTCCAAAGCCRTGTCTCCATGAGCTCACATCCCCAGGGAAGGTGCAGATACCTCGTTGCTTTGAGAGAGCGTTTATTGAGCATGCAGGATCCATTCCAACCCCTCATCCTGAAGCTGCAATTTCCACAGAGGTTCCACACTGCAGTATCCCACTCTCAGGCTGTGTGGMAGCATGCACAGGGAAAACAGGGAGTGCAGCATGCATGGAAGGGGGAGAATTCCCCCAAATGACAGGAGTGTAGCCACTAATAAATGTAACATGGAATATTACAGAGATCCAAGTGTGACTGAAGGAAGTGTCTCTTTGGTGGAGTTCTTGTGCAGCCAAGTTTTGGTAAGAGAGAAAAAATCCCAGACAAACAAACAGTGAATATCCCTATTCCATCCTCAAATTTTCATCTCAAGGCTGGAGGCTGAAATGGGAATCACCCTGAGGCACAGATCYGTGCTGTGCCTTACCTTCCATCCCCAGGACAGATAAGGACGTGTGGAACAGGGATAAAGCCTGGCTGACAGCTCAGTGGTGTCCCCAAGGCCACATGGAGTGACCCACCAGGGCTGTGCTGATGCTCTGCCCCGTTCCAGACCATTTTCCAGCACATGGAGAACCTTTGATTGTGAACACAGAGCTGACCTGGGCACTTGGCATTCCAAAGGGATCCCAATGGAGGGAGCAGAGTGCCCGTGCTCTGCTTTGTCAGCATCATCAAACACAGAGTCAACTCCCTAAAAAGGGCAATTTCCTGTGACTGAAATGCCCCACAGACCTTCCCACCCACCCCCATGTCCAGCCAGTGTATTCCAATCTCATCCTTTGGAACAAACCTGCGCTGTAATCCCAGCTGGATTTCAGCTCTTACCAACAGCCATCCCTGCGCTGTCCCGACAGGCCGTGGCAGTGAAACAATCTGAGTGGGGGCTGTGACACGAAACGTGGGCTCAGTGACCCCCAAACCACGGGCTCAGTGGCCCAGGGAGTGCCCTCAATCCATAGGTCCAACACAGATCGTGCACGGAGTCAGGCTGAGTCCAGGAGTCCCAGGAGAGCACCAACTGCGCCGAAATAACCCTGAGGAGCAGATGGGAACATCCATTGAAAATACCTGGGCACACACCTGACATGAGAACAGCAATACCCAGAGAATCATGGAATGATTGCAGTTGGAAGGGACCTTAAAGATCATCCAGTCCCACCCCCTACCATGTGCAGGGACATCTTTCACTCTCCCAGGGTGCTCCAAACCCCGTCCAACCTGGCCTTGGACACTTCCAGGGATCCAGGGGCAGCCACAGCTTCTCTGGGCACCCTGTGCCAGAGCCTCACTACCCTCACCAGGAGGAATTCCTTCCCAATATCCCATTTATCCCTGCCCTCTGGCAGTGGGAAGCCATTCCCCTTYGTCCTGTCACTCCATCCCTTGTCCCAAGTTCCTCTCCAGCTCTCCTGGAGYCCCTTTAGGYCCTGGAAAGTCTCCCTGGAGCCTTCCCTTCTCCAGCCTATTACACACGCAATGTAACTTTGACAATATATAAAGGACAGTGGAAAGATACAACTACAGGAAGGTACTTTATAAAATATAAAATAATATAAATATAGCTGTGGCTSTAGCAGCAAAGCCCTGAGAACCTCCTGCACCATGTGCACCCAACAGCTCCACAGTAGCTGTTTCTAGAGCGCTCCAAGGATTTGTCTTTTGCCACGAGACAAAATGAATTTTAGAAAGGAATTTTACCTCATGTTCCAAGAAAAGTGCTTTTAACTGTCCCTTTGACCAGTAGTCCAGGGCATAGGCCAGGAGCCTCATGGAGATGGTGTTGATCCGAAGGAAGTTGCCCACAAAGACCACACGATTGATGTTCTGTAAGTGTTAAGGGAAAAAAAAAGAGTATTAAGGCTAAATTCTATTTTCTATTGCTTGTAATGATGAAAACCCCATGTGGGGAAGGGTCTGGAACAGCTGAGGGAGCTGAGGGGCTCAGCCTGGAGAAAAGGGGGATCAGGGGGGACCTTGTGGCTCTGCACAACTCCCTGACAGGAGGGGACAGCCGGGGGAAATTGGGATCTCATCCCAGGGAACAGGGACAGGAGAGGGAACGGCCTCAGGCTGGGCCAGGGGAGGGTCACATTGGGAATTAGGGAAAGTTTCTTCCCAAAAAGAGTGGTCAAGCATTGGCACAGCTGCCCAGGGCCGTGGTGGAGTCCCCATCTCTGGAAGGATTTAAAAGCCATGTGGATGTGGCACTTGGGGACAGGGGTCAGTGGTGGCCTTGGCAGTGCTGGGGGAATGGTTGGACTGGATATCTTAGACGACTTTTCCAAYCTAACTGGTTCTGAGATTCCATGGATTAAGTGCCTGCTTAAAGTGTCTGGCACAATGTGCAGAAAACCACCCACAATTCCATCAGAAAGTAGGACCAGGTCATTTTAAACCAGGCTCTTCCTCTGATTCTTCCACACTACCCAGAAATTCCCAGGTCAAACTACGCCTTTCTAACTCAGGAATTTGAATAGAATAGCTGATTTTCCTATGAAATCCCTATCCTGCCTGGGAACACTGATCATTAAGTGCTATCTCCCCCCTCTCTTCCCAGCTCTGGCCTTTGACTCATGAAATAGCTGAGTTACTCCACAGTTAAACTGGGTGGGGGGGAAACYAATTAGGAGCCCATTAACAAATACAATTTTTAAAGTAGTGGTATCTTGGATTTAAACCAGACATCCAGCTTAATTTGTCCATCCCAAAATAGTTGTCCTGATCCACGCTTGAAGCATTTTTTCTCCAAAAAAATTCAGTTCCTCTTATTGAGGAATCAGGATCAAGACTTACCTGCTCCTGCATGTGCATCATTCTACGGGTTTTTCTTCCCTCCCCACAGTGATTAACACTTTCCCTGAACTATTCAAGATCCTCTTTTTATTGAGCTGAGCTCCAGAGGAAGGAATCAGCAGATATATTAYGAGCAAGGCTGTTTAGGACATGTCTTGCCCCGTCTTGGCTGCAATGAAGCCAGAGCCAGAGGAGTCAGGAGGGTGCAGGATCCCATTGGCCCATCCCATGGACACAGGCTCAGGATGGAGTGCAGAGGAGGTCTCTGCTCTTTCATAGCCCTGTACAATGCTGCTTGACATGAATGCAACAAGGCAGCACTGTAAAGAAGCTGAAAGCACAGAGATCCAGCAACRGCCGTGGCAGTGGTGGGACTTGGCCAAAAAATCCAGAGCAACTCATAAAATAATCACAGGGAAAGATACCCAGCCCCTACACCCTCTGTCCCTCCTTTCCTCCTCTCCCAGTGGTGCCCAGAGCAATGTCCAAAGAGAGGCAGGGTCCTCAAGCAGGCAGCAGAACACAGGTGATGTTTCAGGCAGGGAGCAAGGGAAAAGATTCCCAAAATACCTCATTAAGGGCACACATCCGCGCTATGGAGCCAATGTTGTTGGTGATGGTGATCAAAGTAGCCCTGGCCAGGTCCTCTTTGCTGACAGATTCCCTCTTCTCCTTGCTCATCATGTTTCCAAAGCTGTGAAGACAGTTTTGGGGTTAAAGGTCCCATCAGAATTCCAGGAGAAAATGGGAACTGCTAATTTAACCAAAGTGATTCATCCTGATGGATCGATTTCTAATTTTAAAAAGCATTACTATCAATAACTTGTATCTCTTAGGAATGGCTGCTCCCACAAGGCACCAAAATGCAGTTTTTCATCCTTGCAGGATCTCCAGTGGAAATAAAACCAAAATGAGAAGCAGGCAGGGCATTACCTGGATGCCACAGCCCAGCCTGGCAGCCCGAAGCGCTCGTAGTCTCCCCCGTAGATGTCCCGCACCAGTTTGTCCACTTTGGTGCTGTCCCCGTGGGATGCCATCTCCAGGGCCTCCTCAAACGTGGAGCAGCCCGTCAGAAGGCAGCAGAGGCCAAAGAAGGTTCCCCCTCCAAGGCTGCAAGKAAAGCAAAATGAAAATGAAAGCTCAGATTGTTCAGCTCTGCATCCCTGTAGACTCAGATCATCCCATTCCTGGCTCAATTTTTCAGGSAGAACCATCTTAGAAGAGCAGCATTTTCCTTCAAGTCTGTTCCTCTCATGTAACTTTACTGCCTGTAAGGAATCCCTCGTCCTCACAGCCTTCTGCACAGGCCATGGTGGTAAATAAGACATTAATTTTCTTATTTTACACTGTCCCAGCACTCAGAGATGTTAATCTTAAAATAAATATTAATCCTGGGGGTAACTGGACTGTTAGGGAAAAAGCTGGGGAAAAAGGTCTGTCCTGTTCAATTTACAGTGCACAGATSCCAATAATGATGTACAGTACGAGTAAGAACAGTATTGAGGGGCTTTAGATTTTTTTTAATTAGTATCATCATCATCATTATCATCATCATCATCATTATTATCATAATTATCACTATTATTACTACTATTACTTTTCAGGGAATTCAGGGAAGCTTAAAGCCAGATAACTCTTTGTCTTTGCCTGGACACAAAAGCCTCATCTTCAAGATGGGCAAGAACTGGGGAATTACTGCTTTGCCATTATCCCACCAAAACCAGGCAACTTCTGCAAGTCAGGATGGAAATATCAATTTCTTGGTTCAAAGCTAGGAGTTAACAATCCCAAACTACGTGCTCTCATAAAATAAGTAAATAACACCCTTAAATTCCTGCAGGAGGGCAACTGAAAAAACAGCTCCAATGAAGACTGGCTGAAGTAAAGACACCAAAAGATGAAATCCAGATTCTCTCTTCCATGTGGAATGTTTGTTGGTAGGGAGAAGGGACTGAAGTAAGAGCAGAAGACACCCYCTTTATTGCAGTTTGTCCCTGAAAATGTCATTAACAAAGCTGGAATGTGCTCCAGACCCTCAAATCAAACTCCCTTTAACCCCCAGCACTCACCTGGTGCCCGTTACCCGTTTATAGTTGTCTTTGGAATAGACAGCCAAAATGCTGACCCCTGAGCCAATGTTGACCAGAAGAAGAGGATAGGGATTCTCCAGGTTGAATGGGAGCTTCTGGCACCTCTCATTATCCGTGGGGTTCTCGTAATAGTAACACTCAGAGTGTCCATTGAAGCCCACGGAATCGATGTACAGCACTCCTTTAACCAGGCAATCCAACTCATCGAGCTTACAAAGCTCAAGGTCACCCATCTGGTGGGAAGGAAAAAAAGAGGAATATTGAAGAAGCAGCCAGGGATCTGAAGGGTTTATGCTCAGGGCTGGAAAAAKGCATTCACTGTTAGCTCAGTGCAGCTTTCTCCATGCTCCCTGCAGAGGCTGAGGGAGAATGGATCACAGGAGAGCAGAGACTCTTCAGCATCCCAACCCTCAGGTGTGGAACAGGGGAAAACCATCTGGATCCACAGATGGACTCAGAGAGAACTCCAGCAACTCCCACTGGCCTGATTTAGACCCTGATGCTGAGGCACTGGCCTGAAAAGTCAGCAAAAGTGAGGAGGGACTTCAATTGTTTCACCAAAATATCCCACAAAACCCATCCACAGGAACATCAAAAAAAGGTGAGGAAGTTACAAAATCATTTYCCCCTCATGTCACTGCCTTGACCACACAAACTGGGTATCAATAAAAATTTCTTCACAGAAAGGGTTGTGCTGCCCAGGGCAGTGATGGAGTCCCCATCCCTGAAGGAATTTAAAAAACATGTGAATGTGGCACCTGGGGACATGGCATAGTGGTGGCCTTGGCAGTGCTGGGGGACCAGTTGGATTTGATAATCTTAGAGGGCTTTTTACCCTTAATCATTCTATAAAAGCCTCTTTATTTGCATTTTTCCAAGCCCTGACTAAACMAAGTGTTTATCATGCATTTTTCACCTATGAACAAGGATCCCACTTAGAATGAAACCTCATGATGATGTCAAATCCCAACTATGAAATTCTGACATTGTTACATTGACAACCAAATCTGCCTCAACCTCAACCAGCTCATTCACACAGGTGTTAGAAATGAAACCAGGTGAGCAAAGGAAGAAAACAAAGCAGGAGAAAGACAGCAATGAGAAAAAAAGAAATCTCACAAGACTGAGATTAGCACAAGGAGAGCTTRCAAATAGAGAAGAAGACGTGTAAGAAAGATCATTAGTGAATAATTTTAGAGTTACATTCAGGACAGAAAGTGTTTTAAGTGGGAKATACCAACTTGACTGCACATGCCAAGTATAATTGGAGTTAGGGACAGCGTCAAAGTGAAGATTTAGAGAAGTTTTAGAGTGTGCAGAGAAAAGTTTTCTAGTTTTAAGCCTTCAAAGAAACGTCACTACCAGATCCTAATTGTATAGAAGCCAAAAATGCCTACTGTGCGAAAGTCCTGCTCAAATTTGTACGCTCCACCTCCCGTGGCACATAAGGTAGTATGGAGGCTCGAGAAGTGCTTTTCGCTTCCCATTTGGATAAAAGCAGGCATGTCATGAGTAGGAAAGCGTATAAAGTGCAGATTGCCTTTACGTCCACACAGGGTAAGGTCCTTGAGCTCAAGGTGCACATCCCGAATGCCTGTGGAGCCATARGCTACGTTTGATGTCAGGTATTTGCGGATGCTTTTGAGGTTTTCCACTTCTTCYTCTTCCTCTTCGGCGGTGATGTCCTTGGGTTCAAAATAAACCAGCTTGACCAAGGTTCCTCCGATGTCCAAGCCAAACCAGGGAAAGACTGGAGAGAGGAGACAAAGAGAAAATCAGACAGGGTATGGCACAGCCATAGCAGGAGCACCTTTCTAGTGGAAGGTGTCCCTACCCATGGCAGGGGGTTGGAACTAGATGGTCTTTAAAGTCTTTTTGGTCTTCCCACCCAAACCATCCTGTGATTCTATGAAAATAGYTCTAAAATGAATTATTTCATGCAGATCTCTAAGGAGCCATGTGGTCTCTCAGTTTTCMTGAATGCTGGCAGCTTGGTCTGTCTTTGACAAGAGACCACTCTTGCTCAGATCCCTCATGTTCAGGAGCTCCGAATATTTGCTGTACAACACTCAAACACTGACAGCCCCTGCTGCAGGTCTGACAGCAACCATATCCCTGCCAGATCCTGCTGCAGGTTTAATCCCCAGCTATTCCTTTTCCCAAATTCTGAACCAGAGCCAGAGCCACGGATAACACCAGTGCTTTTACATCAAAGGGATGTACAAACGTTCCCTAATTACAACACAGAGCTGAGGTAGATGAGTACTCTAAGATGCCGCAGGGAAACAAAAACAAATGTCTAATTGGATTATTTTATTAGTCAAATTCCCCCATGGTACAAAATATGCATCAGTGTCAGGCCCAGCAACATTTACAGCTGTGTTAGATAATGAGCTTCTTGGAAAAGATCAAGAGAAACCCCTGATCTGATGGAATCTGCGATTAGAGCTGGGAACTGGAACAGATTAATATCACTATTAATGAGCTAAAGGAGGCTGGAGCTAACGAGATGCACAAGCTCCAGAGCAAAGGGAAAAATGTAGCCACATGTTAGGGCTTATGGRAGCAGCATTCAATCCTTATGGTGTGTTCCAGAAGGAAAAAAGGAAGTTTTAGAAAATAAACCTGAATCATAGAATCATAAAGATTGTCCYAACCATTAACCCAGCACTGCCAAGGCCACCACTACCCCATACCACCAAGTGCCACATCCACATGGCTTTTAAATCCCTCCAGGGATGGGGACTCCCAACACTGCCCTGGGCAGCTGTGCCAGGGCTGGACACTCTAAATTATCCTTCACATTCAATCTAAACCTCCCCTGTCACAACTTGAGGTCATTTCCTCTCCTCCTGTSCCTTGCTCCTGGGGAACAGAGCCTGACTCCCCCTGGCTGCCCCCTCCTGTCAAGGAATTATGCAGAGCCAGAAGGTCCTCCCTGTGCCTCCTTTTCTCCAAGCTGAGCCCTCCCAGCTCCCTCAGCAGCTCCAGACTCTTCCACAACTCATTCCCTTCCCTGGACATGCTCCAGCATAGATGTTACAATATTCCTATGGAAGAGGATCTCAGGTTTCAGTAAAATTCCTAATCTGCAAACAGATTAAGGGTGGAACATAGAGAACCCCTCATTCCACTCCCTTTGGAGCAGGAATCCCTTTTATCAGGCTCTTCAGGGAACAATCTTTGCACAAGCACCAGCCTGACAGGTTGGAACACACGTACTCTCCAAGGCAGATTTATCTGGTGGCTGTACAGGCTATTCCAGAGCTTTCCAGCTCCCARGAGCTGCTGGCACCRGCAGCTCCCARCAGCATTTTTAATCCACCAAGTTATTTTTATGTATTTCCATAGAGGCCACCTCCAATCATCACCAAAGGAAATACTGAAAGAAGATGCAAGCTCTATTTGCAGAGACACATCCAAATCCCAATTGCTCTCCATTTCTGAGGCATTTACTTCAAACAAGAACAGACACAAAAATAACTTTTCATGAATGAAAGGGAAAGRAATCTGAATGGCAGCCCAACAGAGGGAGAGAACAGGAACGATCCAAGGATTTTTACACAGACAGCGGGAAGACAAAAGGGAAAGGCTCTAAACTAAAAGGAGAGATTTATGTATCAGCATGAAATTCTTCCCCATGAGGGTGGGGAGGCCCTGGCACAGGGTGCCCAGAGAAGCTGTGGCTGCTCCTGGATCCCTGGAAGTGTCCAAGGCCAGGYTGGACAGGGCTTGGAGCACCCTGGGATAGTGGAAGATGTCCCTGCCCATGGCAGGTGGTTGGAAGTAGATGGTCTTTAAAACCACCCAAACCATTCCATGATTCTATGATTTCTGGAATCTATTTGCTCCTGTCAGAACAGGCCATTTGATTTCTGCTGAAATCTACACTCGATTTTTTTTTTTAAATATCCCCACCATTGTATTTAGACAAAATCCTTCCCCAAACTCCCTCTGCCAGGCTATACAGGGGTAAAAATGAGGAGAGAACAGAGGATAAGCACCCAGAAATGGCCTCACGGAGGTGCAGCAGGAAAGACTAACATCCAAAACCCAATGCACAGTGCTCTGAACCAGGTGCCTGAAAAAGCCACAGTGGCTGCTCCATCMCAGGCTAACAGGCTCAGCTGGTGGCACATGCACAGCTCCAGTAAAATAACATATTTGTTTTAAAGCTGTTTGTGAATTCACACACCAAACTCCTACGCTCAGMGACACAAACCTTTTACATTTTAGGGCAAACACCACCTGGATCCATCAGCTTAGGCAGCTTTCCTGGTCACAAAAAAAAAGAGAGCAGCTCCTTGGAAACTTCATCCCATACTCAGCGCCATCAAGAGCTTACATTTTTTAATAAACAGAAATTTAGATTTTATTTGGGTAGAACATCAAACAAGGAGTTAAACCACATCAGTTATCTGTGTCACCACTAACAGGGAAACAGGAATGATGCCAGCAGAGCTGGAAGTAACTGCAGCCAGGCTGGGTTTGGGGGTCGCTATCGACACTCAGCACTGGCCCTAAAAAGAAAATCCAACCCYCCTGAGCTGGGATACAACTTTGAGAGCTGCCTCACACATCCCTGTGGCACTGGCTGGAAAGGCTCCACGCGGAGCAGCTGGTGCTCTCCATCTGCCAGCAGCTTGGCTGTACCTTCCCTAAGTCACCAGGGATAAATTCGAAAAGACAGCCTATTAAGGTAATTAACTTACACCAAATGATTGTTAATTATGGATCTCTCGTTATATACATCCCAGCTACAGGTTAAGAATCCAAGGAARAATCATGTGAGCTCAAAATTAAGTACTTTTTTCCTGTGCTGCAAAGGATTCCCTATGCAGTAGCACCTGTTGCAAAACTCAATCCATTACAGGGACAGAACTTCCCTATAAACCCTTTTTTGTAGAAAGGGGAAATGCCACACAAACAAGAGAAGGAAGGACATGAAGAAGTGGTTTTTTTTTTTTTTTTTTCTGACACTTACAGGAAGTCATCCAACAGGAACATATGAGACATTGACAGCTCTTCCATGTCTGAGAACTAGAAAAATCCAAGGGAGGGAGGAGGAAGCTCTCCTGGATCAAYGCCATCACCATCTGCCACCAACATTTCTCCTGAAATACTGATTTTTTTTTTTTCCCATCAGATGAAAGCCATCCAGAGATTTCTCCCTTGTAAGCCTCTGAAACAATTTTTCCAAGAGAGCTGCTGCAGATCTCGAGGAGCAGCAGAACTGCTGGCATCCAGGAGCCTCTGGGCATCCCCGAGGCTGATTTTGCTCAGTCAGAAGGTTCTGCTGGAATAACCAGACACCAGCATGAATGGCCAGGGCAGGAAATGTAAATGCTGTATCTCATCACCTCCTCCCTGCTGCTACTTGGAGCTCTCTGTGCTGGGAAGAGCCTCACACGTCTCCTTTCCAAATGCTCACCAGCCAGAGAACAAGGGAAAGGATGGCAAATCCCTATGCTGGCACGGGGCAGAATATCACTGTATGGACYTCTGGGCTCTCCTCCTGTCCAGCACCTTCTGGGGAGTGTTTAGGGTTCCTCGGGTGTTTGTGCATTCCCAAGAAAGGCAGGAAATCCTCTGCTCTCAGCTCCAAACCTCCCGCAATCTCTCCCCTTAAAGAAAGTCTCTGTTGCTTTGTTAGGAGGATGAGAGCCACTAATCCCACTCTCAGTGAGTTGGGCAGAGAAGCTGTGGCTACTCCATCCCTGGAAGTGTCCAAGGCCAGGTYRGAGCAACCCTGGATAGTGGAARGTGTCCCTGGCCATGGCAGGGGTTGGAATTAGATGGTCTTGAAGGTCCCTCCCAACTCAAACCACTGGCCTGGCAAACTCTTGCTTTCCTTGAGCACAAACAATTATAAAAGCAGCTCTCTCTGTATATTTTCACATCAACAGCTCTTTGTCTTAAAAACAAACCTTCTTCTCAGGGACAGATCTATGGATATGCAGCAACAAACAAAAGATTGGTCTGTGTGCAAAGTCAAGGGCTCACAGCTCCAACTAAATAATCCCAGAAAAGCTCAAGGATACTTCGTGTGCCCATGGCAAGAGCCACCCTCCCTTCCAATCCCTTTTGCAGTCAGACTGTAAAATCTTCAGGGCAATAAAAAGAAACTGCCTTTATCTGATATGTAAATTACTTCATAAAATTGGACACTGTGTAAATAAAAAAGCCCTCAACAGATTTACTCTGGAAGCTACAGAACTGTCAAGATGAAAGAGGTGATATAATTAAAGATCTCCATGGTGGATTTTCATCACAAAACAAGCAGCTCRAGTTGTATTTCACAGTGATCTTTAACTTCTGAGCCAATTATATCAGGAGCTAAAAAGATCAGTCTGATGATTTAGTTCAGTGTGTGACAGCACCTCTAGGCTTGCTCTGAAATATTCAATATTATATTTTAATAGTGTTATACCATGCTGGAAATTTTACAGCTGAGAAAAAATACAATTCATTAGCATTTAATATAAAGTGACACTAAGTCTACGTCTCCTCTCATGCCTCAAAACAGTCTCTGATAGGAATTCACATTTCATACACCATTCCAAAAAAGAAAAAGGTATTTAAACATCAAAGYTTGAATTCTGTACTACAAAAGAGGTGACAAAACAGCATTTTATTTTTCCCTTTTCTTGGACACTTTCTGTATTGAAAATTTTAAGTCATGTGTCCATTATGTCTTTGCACGATTCTGACAGAAGATCGTAAAACTTTAAAAAAAGGAATCAATTGAAAGGAAAAAATATTTTTTTCCTCAGGTAACAAGCAAACAAGCTACAGAAAGGAGAAGCACATTTTGGTAACCAGGAAAATAACCTAAACACATCCATGTTGAGTATGGCAAAATTTCAGGAGGAACAAGGAGTGGAAGAAGGGGAAARGGGAGAAAGCCAATGAACTGAAATGCTGATCTCTTTCTCTTACAAAAAAGTCATTAAAAAAACATCCCCCTGCTCATTATGACATGCTTGTCATCAGGTTTCTGCCTGGCACTTCACCCCGCCCACAGCCACAGTTCCTTTAGAAGCATAATGGGAATATCCTCTTTACTTATCTGGGGTCTTTCCAGTCCAGTTTTTAAGTGCAGATTTCAACAATGGCATTGATAAYTCAGTACCAGAAAGGAATTTTCCTGTGCTGCTCCTGGAGCTGATAAAGCTTTTGAGTATGGCATGCCTGCCTGCACTAATAACCCYTTGAAGCTCCCCTTCCCAAGGTAATACTCCAAAGCTTCAATAAATCTCCATGTTTTCAGGGACACTTCTCACTTCTTCCTGAGAGCAAGAGCATCCTTGACTTCTCCCCCTTCTCCCAGTGGCATACTGAAAACTCCAGCTACTGCAGTTAAGCTCCTCAGYTCCTGAAGTGCACCAAGAAATATTTCCCAGAATCATTCAGGTTAGGAAAGACCTCCAAGATCAATTCCACCTGTTAACACAACATTGTCATCTTCACCCCCAATCCATGTCCCCAAGCACCACATCCACATGACTTTTAAACACAGAATTTAAATTTCCAGGGAATTTAAAAGCCCCAGGTGCAGGAAGGCACACAGCTGAGACGCTGGGTGCACTATTTATTTCAGATCTATCCCAAATCCAGTCCTCTTCCCAGATCTCTGCAGTGAAACAGCCCCAACTGCACATTACAGGCACAGAGGGACAAGGAGGAAAGGGGATCATGARTCTGCTGAAATCCTTTCATTCCTGRGGAAGCAGGGCTCATCTGCCAGGGCATCTGCCAGCACAGCCAGGCAAGACAAGCCTCAAGGTCACCCAGCTCATTTGCCACAAGCCAGCAATGACAAGTGGGAGCTAAAGGAGGAAATTTTTGATCCCACGCCCATTAAGTGCTTTCCTTTCATTTTGGCTTGAGTCTTCCTTAAGGTGGGATGGAGCATTTAAACTCCAAAACACAATTTACTGTGACATCAAGCATTGTCCCTGCTAAGAGATGCACTTKCTGCAGCACATTTCTCTTCTAATTATCAAAAGAATCATTTAGGAAAATCAGACTATACTGTAACTCTGAATCGCGCCCCGCTGACCTTCCAGACTGGATGCAAATCCTTTCTTGGAAGCTGCCAGAGCACCTGTTTTCCTTAAAGTATCCCATGCCACTCTCAGCACCCAACCTTAATCCACATGTTCCAGAGAAGACACAGAAACTGCCCTGAGCAAGGCAGAGGAGAATCATCACTTAAAGAAGAGCTCTGAGTCCTCCCTCATTCTCATACCAGAGATCTCCTTCACGTCCCTGCAGTGTTTTAACTAACAGGTCTTTAATTAACAGCCCCATGAATCCCTATCCCTATTTTTCACACTAAGGGCAAAAGAGAAGCTCCTTTTTTCACCAGCAACCAAAAAATAAACAGGAACATTCTTAAAACTCCCCACGAATACAGTAACAACATCTCAGCACTGCCAGTCACAGCCCAGATGCAGCAGAATCCCGATCCCTGTTTTCAGCCCGGACTCCTTGATCACATCTTTTTAACAGCTGTGCAGGTATTACGGAATTACACCGAGGCTGTTTCATTTTCAGGGMATGGCAATTTCCTTCCAGGAGGAAAGACTTCAGAAGAAGCCAAGGAATAATTGCTCAGTTCCTCCTCAAACATGGCTGAAGTCAGTGACAACCACGGCACCTGCAAGGCAGCTCCTGCTGCTCCCAAAATGAAGGCTGCCATCCATTTTGCTGTTTCCAGCAGGACGTTTACAAATGTGGTTATAGGAATGCGTTTTTCTTCCTTAGAAAGCCTGGTTTGAGCTGTGTGCTGTTCCTGCCAAACCTGTGGGGTTCTTCCCTCCCAGAATTTAAACCATTCCCTTTGCTCTCCAYTGCTTTGCTTTCACACTTACCAGTCCACCCCCACAACCTCAAACCCTGGGTCTCCCATCTGTCCAGCTGTTTTTTTTTCCTCACCCTCTGTCACCAGTCACCTTTCCTGCCCTCCCATCCAAGGTGCCCAATTTGGGCACCTCATTATCCACCATACCCCCATCCCATGTCCTACCCTATCAGAAGATGTCGTCTCACCCTAAACCTCCCAGAGCTCTTAGAGTTCTTGTCCCATCCTTCACCCCAACCTGCTAAGCCCATGTCACTGTCCCACTGTGTCCCTACCATGCTGTCCCCAAGCCTGCCATGATGTACCCATGCCATCGCCCCACAGTGCTGTTCCCAAGCTGGCTATACTGGATAAACCACCACCCCACTACGTCCCCTCCGTGCTGTTCCCAGGCTGGCCATACTGGATAAGCCATCACCCCACTACGTCCCCTCCGTGCTGTTCCCAGTTTGGCCATTCTGGACAAGTCACCACTCTCCAGACCGGCCATGCCGTGCCCATGTCACCACCCCACTGTTGTCCCCAGATTGGTCACGCTGTACAAGTCCTCAACCCACCGTGTCCCCGCCGTGCTGTCCTCACACTGCCCATGCTGTGCCCATCTCACCGCCCCCACCGCGCTGTCCCAGTGTCCCCATCGCTCCCCGCTGCTCCCCCAAATCCCCCCCGCCCCA